TCTGCTTCTGTGAGGACGTGTGGGTGGGAACAGAAGTGGAAAAATAGTAAAAACCGCTCTAAGAGCAGAACATCCGTCGTGCCGGGCAGAACACAAGAACTGCTGGAGGAGCCATGGCAAACAGCTGGAGATAGTCAAGAGATAAGACCAGATATGTCTGGGACAGTTGGGAAAGGCCTGGGGTATTCCAGAGAGCCTTGGAGAGTGAATAGGACTTTGAGAGTCAGGAACGGAGGAGAAGCCATCAGAGTCAGAGAATGGCAGGGGCACCAGGGAGAGAAGGAGGCGCAGTACTGCCAGGAGTCAAGGTGATGATGCTGAGTGCTCCCTGAAGGCCACTTGGTTCTAGGTCCACCTTAATCCTAACAACAACTGTTCATCCTATCCAGTAGGCTTTATTATGAGCCTTGTTTTTGAGAGGAAAACAGGGCACAGAGGTTATGTAACTTGCTTCAGAAGGGGTGAAGCCATCTTTGAAGCAAGGTCATTGGCCTCTAGAGACCATGCCCTTCAGTGCTGAGCCTCTGGAGATGAGATTCAAGAGCAGGCTGGTTGCCAAGGACTGTTTGGGGTTCAGTTTGCCAAGCAGTGAGGAATCACTGGAAGCTTTGGTTCTGGGGGTTCTGAGCTGCATTTAGGAGTACTGGTCTGGCAGTAAAGGCCATGTGACTTGCCAGAAGGGTGTTTTGAGAGGCCGGGAAAAGGCATGAAGACCTGGAGCCCAGAGTGACAGCAGAAGGGAAAAAGAAGGTGCTCGCTGGGTGCATTAGAAGGCAGGATCTCTGGGCTTGCACTAGATTATGTGGGACGGAAGGATTTTACAGACAGGTGGCGGGATGGGGATGCCATTGTTTGGAACCAAAAATCAGGAGGAGTAACTACATTTAGGGAGAATGAATAATATGATTTCTGTTTGGGACAAGTCAGTTCTGGGCATTTTTCTAGGAAAGGTGTGGCAGGGGATGGTGAAAACAGAGTGGATCTCAGAAGAAGTGCGGTTGGTCAGCAGCAGTTAATGTGATGGGACCAAGAATGGTCAAGAGGGCTAGGTGGAGGACACCAGAGATGGTGTAAAGAGAAATAAAGGAGGATGAGCATCGGACCCTGGGGAACATAACTGGCAAGGGCCTGGTTGGAGAAGAGGGAAAGTCTACCACGTAGAAAGAGAATGAATCATCAGAGAAGCAGATAGAGGACTAAAGTATTAACCGACAGTAGGAACTTTCTGGAGACGCTCTTGCTGACACCACCCTGACTCATTTATCATAGCAGGTTAAGAGCAGGTTTGGAAGCTGAGGGAAAGAAGCTGCTGGTGGTCTGATGGTGTCAACGAGAAAAGACGGGGAGAGGACCTGGTGGCCACTTCCCAACTCACGCTGCAGATAAAAAATCAGAGGATTGAGAGATTATCGTTTGGCTGGCAAATCAGGGTCCTCAGAGGCCTGCAGGGTGGCTCCTTCTGAGCCTGTTGATAGTGAGTTTCTTTCCCTCCATGCCCCGTTCTAAGGGTGGCTAGCCCATTCCTTTTCCTCCTGAAACTCAACCAAGTGATTCAAAAAATTCACCTCTATCACGATTTTCAAAGTATAGGCTTAGTGCAGAGGGGAGCTTACACGTGCTCCTGAAGGAAGATTCTAGCAACTCAGGCCCTTTCACACCTGGGTGACTACCTGGTTTTTCCAAGTTATGAGCTTCAGTTCTCCTGAGACTCTCTGGATAAATGACAAGCCCATCTTGAATTCGAATGGGTTTCCAGTAAAAAGGGAAAGATAATGCAGTGTCTAAATTTGCTAATTACTGCAATGATTAAAGCAAGACTTTTCAAGTTTATTCTTTCATAAGATCAGTGACCTTTTGAACACAAGCAGGATCTGACAAAGACAGTCCTAACAAGGGAAAGAGAATGAGCAAGCCATGCCAGTTCCCTCGGAACAATTAGCTGCTGTTGGCATTGGACCTACAGCTTAAAGTTTGTTTTGCTGGGACTACCTTCTGGTTTCTTGGTGTTGTGCTGTGATTAAACAAAACTTCGGTAAAACCTAAAGGACTGTATTATGGTCATTTTGAAAAATATATAGGGGGATTAAAAGAATGGAAGCTTTCGTTTTCTTAGCAAAAGTCAAGTGAGGAATATTTTGGAAACTTCTGGGTAGGAGAACATACGTATGTGACAAGAGTTCTTCAAGCCCTGCAGAAACAGAAGATGGGTGAGAACAAGCCTCTGGCAGGTAGTTGCTAAGAGAGGCAGGCTGATCTCATGACAAGAGACTCTGGACTTTGGAAGCCGACATTCCTGGATGTGAATTCCTGGCATGTAGACTCCCAGCCACAGAGCCCTTGGTTAAGGCCCAGTGACGTTCTGAGCCTCGGCATCTTTGCACATCTGGGGGCGCATGTGAAGCCATCAATCAAGAGAAACTGGTTCCTTCTGTTTCCATTCAAGGTCCCCACCTCCCGCGTGGATTCCTCAACATCCCGGCCGCCCCCCGCCCCAGCCCAAGGTGAACACAGGCTTTTCTTTAAGGTGGCTGGAGAGAAAAAGGGTAGATTTGGAGGCAGAAGTGCTAGATTGGAGGGCTGTGTGATCCTCCACCAGTTATCTAACTTCGCAGTTTCTCATCTGTAAACTTGGAGGAATTCCTGCCACAGGGATACCAGGGAGTTAAATGAGATGCTTTTTGTGAAAGTGTCAGGAAGGCTGTTCCGTCTTCTCAGAATCAATAGGGTAACAAGCATTCTCCAAATGACCAGAACGAGCTTACTTTCCTCCCTAGGGACTTAATTCCCTTTTCATACAGTTCTGTTTTTTAAAAATTGACTTTATAAAAGAACTCAGAATTCCAGAGTCTAGGTCACCACCCTTAACAAAATCTTCAGATTTTTTAGTATTCTTTTACTTACAAAAAGGATTCTACCCCGGGGCGCCTGGGTGGCTCAGTCGTTAAGCGTCTGCCTTCGGCTCAGGTCATGATCCCGGGGTCCTGGGATGGAGCCCCGCATCGGGCTCCCTGCTCCGCGGGAAGCCTGCTTCTCCCTCTCCCGCTCCCCCTGCTTGCGTTCCCTCTCTCGCTGTGTCTCTCTCTGTCAAATGAATAAATAAAATCCTTTTTAAAAAAGGGGGATTATACCCCTATAGCTACTCAAAGTTGGATGAACAAGATTTAGATTTGGCAGAAGCTGATTTACTGGGTTGTTCTCTTTGCAAATTCAATCAGAAATTACCCTTGTAATTGTTTTTGACTTCATATTTCCTTCATATTTGTTTTTGCTGACAAGAACACATAGAAACATTAAAAAGGTAACTTTCTCCTAGGTTTTATAAGGAGAGGAGAGTGACAAAGAGAAATACTATGAACTTGGCATACAAATGAACCATGCTCTGGAATTCGGGTGGGTCTAGGAAAAAGTACAGACTCCAGTGGAAAACATACATGGGTGTGTGAGAAATCCCTGTAAACTATAAACTGAGTACATACTGCACAGGCTGGTATGGAAAGAAACCACAAGACTCTCTAAAATCGGGGAAAAGGAGACAGAGAGGAAGTTTGGCACCAAAACACCAGGTGTCCCTGGGAGTTGGGGACGTTTGCAGTTAGGAGCGGTCTTGCTTGGATTTATGGAACCTGACTATCATAAGCATCAACCCGGGTATCTGTTAGCCAGCGTTCTCCACCACTGAGCTCATTCCTCACGCTCCTCTCCCACCTCTCCTTACCAAGCTAGCTACCCTCCTCAGAGTCCTGCTTTGCACCCTGTGTTGGGTGCGTTCAGCCGGCCGTTTGTGATCCTAGTTCTAATGCGAGGCAAGCTTTCTTATTTCCCTTTTTTGAAGGGAGGGTGCTGAAAATCAGGGAGACCAGATACTTGTCCGAAGTCACCAACCCAAGTACCTTCCACAGGGTATTTTCCCTTGTCCCCAGGATGCACCCATCAGGTGGGCCTTGGCCCAAGCTTTCAGACTTTAAGGACTTGCCCCTCACTGTCATACCGGAAGACCTGAGATTTGAACCCAAGTCTGTCTGGCTCCAACCCTATTCCTTTCCACTATATCATGCTGCTTCCCTATCACCAAAATGCTCAAGACGAAGCTGAGCGTGGAATAATATGCAACGAATATGTGGTGATTCATCCAATTTTGTCAAAATCAAGGGAAGATAACAAAAATCTGTAAATTGGACCAGAGCGTGTGTGTGTGTGTGTGTGTGTGTGTGTGTGTGTGTGTCTGTGTATGTGTGTATACAGAGAGAGAGAGAGAAGAGAGAGGACGGGTTTAACACAGATGAACCATTCCTACTGTCCCTAAACTGTTGACATTGCTTAGTAGTTCCTTCCCTGAACTGTCATTCTTAAGGACGGTCCTATAAGGAAAATCCCTGAGGACTGAGCTGAGCACCGTTTCGGTATTTTTCTAGTCAGAAAGCAGTGAGCCCGTGCTATACCGCTTTCAGTATGTAATCATCCACACCCTGGCAGCAGGCCTGGTCATTGCTATTCCATACAGATAGTCCACATCCTGTCCAGAGGTCGTTATGGGAGCAGATTGGCAGAGAAGAAACATCTGTGGAAATGCATGTGGAGGTCATGGAAAACGAAGGTGCATGAGGTCCATCCAATGTCGGAAATTTCTAGTGTGTTCCCATTTGTTTATTATAATTATCCACCACAGGGGCTGCTTCCTAGCCTGGTGTTTTAAAAAACAAACCACAAAACTTGTGACCTAGCACCAGGATCGGGCCCGTGACAGTGTGAGGCCCATGACAGCTTTGAGAGCTACTAAAATGTGATTCTTTGTTGTTGTTGTTGTTGTTATTGTTGTTGTTTTAGATTCTATTTATTTATTTGAGAGAGAGAGAGAGAGAGAGAGCACGAGTTGGGGGGGGGGGCAGAGGGAGAAGTAGATTCCCCGCTTAGCAGGGAAACCAACATGGGACTCAATCCCAGGACCCCGAGATCATGACCTGAGCTGAAGGCAGATGCTGCACCGACTGAGCCACCCAGGCGTCCCCTAAAATGTGATTCTTGATCAGATAATTTTCCAAGGTTCTAGAGCCTCTGGAGAGGATTCAAGAGAGAGAAAGAATTTCTAGTGCCCCGCAGGACCCATGAAGAATGAGAGAATGCCGTACTGACTTCCACATGGTAGTTCTGCTTGGCAGTTTCTGTTGCCAAATAGCTTTTAAAAAAAAATCAGATACAGATACCGTTTTTGGCAAAGGGGCTGTCATTTACCCATAAAAACCAAAGTCCTGTGCTGGGAGTCTTTGTGGCCCAAGGGCTCTGCTGCTCATTCACCGCGGAAGTGGGTGAGGACAGCTCGAACGCCCAGCTTCTGCCTCCTGGGGTAGAGGACAGGTTCCCACCCATTCTCTCAGCTATCACGTGAGCACAGAGCCTAAGGTTTGGACTGCACACACCCTCCTGGAGTCCCAGGATTCTTTCCTGCAGAGCCAGGTCCAGTCATTACCACCCTGGATCTCCGGGACCTTCTGTTGAGCAGGGCCCTGGCACCCGGACTCGAGGTAAGACCCCCAAAGTGCTTCCCGCTGGTCTCCCAGGGTGGTACAGAAGGAAGGGAAAGATAAAGCGCCCAAACCTCAAAAGACCAAGGAATTTCTGGAAGGTCCGACCAAAATGATTCATCTTGACCTCAGGCATATTTTTTTTCCCTACTCTCTCTTCTATTTCATTTCTACTAGTGTGTGCCTTACTGATTTGAAGAAAACTTCCACTTTTGAAATTTCTAGTGCTTAAATATGCATGAGCACAACTCTGTGAGATTGCAAATAAAATACAGCATTAACTTTGTTAGGAAAAAGAGTGAGTAATACTTGTACCCTATACTGTAAAGACTGAAATTCCAATTTACTTGCATAAACAAAAACTTTGGGTATCAAACTGTTAATAATGCATCAAGCATGCTTCTAAAAATAGCAATTAGCTATTAATTCAGATTAAATTTACAAATAAGTAACTTGCAGAATTAGTGCTGAGTTTTGAGCCTTAAAGACCTTGATCTCAAGGACACGGTATATGACAAATGCAGCTGTGTGAACAAGCACACATCCTTAGGTGTATTTCTTTCAATATCATGTATCATATTATTCACAAACTGCATGGCATGTGAAAAGTAATAAGATGTTTAAAATATTAAATGACAGTAGCTAGCTAGGAGCCCAGTTATCCTTATAGATTGTCCAGTTGATCACAATTTACCTTGGGCTTTTAGAACCTACTTAAGGCCTGAATAACTCTTACTCACAACTTTTGACAGTGAGGAAGATCCTACATATATTGCTATAAATTCATCTTATCTCTGAGAGACGACTTACGTGTGTATAACTTTATTTAATATCCCTAGCTATTTATTCTAATACTTGAAAAGCTCCTTTGCTTTTCTTCCTTCCTTTCTCCCACCTTCTCTTCCTTCCTTCCCTTCTTCCTCCCTCCCTTCCTTTCTTCCTTCCTTTCTTTCTTGATATCTTTTAACCAGTGTCTCCCCTTTTTCCAATATTAACAAAGCAATTTCCCCAGCTTGCAAATATTGGAACCTATTCATCTCTAATAATTCTCTCGTCAGTCTGTTCCAATGTCCTATCAATAACTTACCAATTACCCATGACACCTGAGATCTCTCCCACCAGAATTTAGGTTGTGAATTTTCACAGGGAAATTTATTCTTAAAACCAGGACGGTCCATAAGACCAAGGGCATAGTTAACCCAGAGCTGTGTTAGCCCTGCATCCGCGTTGTTGAGCACCAACAGCTACACATTCAATGTGCACGTTAAAGAAGTGAAGTTTCAGAATTTCGCGTGCGCTCTGATGTTCACCGCTGCCCATGCTGAGGAGAGCTTGGAGGCCATTTCGTCCAACCCTCTCATTTTACAGATGAGGAAAACAGGCCTAATTGATAGCTGGCAATACTAAATTATAGCCCTTCTAAAACTCAATAGCAGAGTTAGTAGGCTTCTTAATGTGCTCAATTACCATAAGGATCCCACGAGCTGATGAGTGTGCTGTGACCTTGAGCATTTACATTCTGTGGTTTTCAGATGTTTATGTTTCTAACGTGGTATTTGTAATCCCAAGGCCCAGTAACCTTTTACCGCGGAGGCCTTGCCAGTCCCCGGTTCTGGGCACCTCCCTTCTTCCATACTCAGCCAGGGCTCCCGGGCTGCACAGGATCTGCAAAGTCACAGCAGGTGCAGCCGAGAGACCAGGTCCTGTGTGAGGGCCTCATGGGCCCTGTGGCCGGTTGAACTCCTTTCTTCATCTCTTGTCTCCTCTCCTGGCCTCTAGGGATCCAGCCCAGATCCTTGCACCTCCTTCAGCCCTGCTCATCTTGCCCCAAATGACCATAGCATCATTCCCTGGACTAAGAGCACAGTTCATCAAGCTTCATCCTCTACGGCTTAACATTTTTCTATAGCTTTTCCTATCTCTCTTTCCCGTCCCCTCAACTGGAACAGAAGCTTTATGAAAATAAGCATTTCACTTGTACACTGGTATCCCCCGTGTATGGAATAGTCTGGAAAAGAGTAGGTGCTCAATAAATACATGTGCAGTGGGTATAACCTTTCCTCTTTCCCTCCTGTCTTTGGGAAACAGGTGTCCCCCTCTTTTCTAGGACTTAACCTCTGGGAGCATCAGTGTCTCCTGTCAACCCTCAAAACCTTGACCTCTAATTCATATCCTCTTTCCTGAAATTTTATTTCCTTAGTTGTCCACTCTGCTGAACTTACATTGCTGTCCAACCATCTGTCTGCCCTTTCTCCAGCTGCTTTGCTGGAAAGTCCTCTCTCCTTCTCCTCAATGTAGTCAGTCTCCAAGATTCTACCCTCAGATGCCTTCTGCTCTTGGTATTTTTCTTTTATATAGATCTCATTGGCTCATGTGGTTAACTTTTCGAGTCTTCATCATGAGCCCCAAATTTATTTCCTAGAGATGAGCATCTCAATGCAAACATGATGAGAGCCAACCTCACAATGTTGCCTTCAATACTCTCTGCTTTTCATGTAAGTCTTCCTCTTCATCCAGGGACCAAACCCCAGAGACCTATCAGCTCCAGGTCCCCTGCCACCATCCCACATCTAATAGTTGTGTGGATTTACCCTGTTGGTAAGCCAAGGTGGTGATGCCCTTGAGTTCATGCATTGCTGAGTGAATTTAACAGCATCCCGAATAATGTCTCTGTAGCTACTCTCCCCATCTCCACCTGTCTTGCTACATGAGCCTGGCTTCTTTTTACCTGTTGAAATGATTCAGTTTGATCTCCATGGCCTTTTAAAATCTACTGCCAGTACAGCTTTCAATCTGTGTTCATACTAACTTTCTTGAGGGACCACAGTGATTCTTAACCATCAATACACACTAGAAGCAAATAGGGAATTTTGAAAAAGTACCAAACCTCAAGCTCCAAATAATATGTCCCTCCTTTCCCTCCTCCTAATGAGAGATTCTGATTCAATTGACATGTGCGGAAGCCAAGGTACCAGGGCATTTAAAAAATTTCCCCAGATGTTTCTTAGATGCAGCCACAGTTGAGAATTATTGATATAACCTATAATCCAATCAAATGAACGTACTCAGGAAAGTACTTTACCTCACATCATACTTTTGCCTGGGCAATTCCCCTCACAGGCAATTCCCTTTCTTTTATTTCCTCTTCCTACAGAAAATGCATAAAGACTTCTCTGGTTCTTTCAGCTGGAAAGAATCAATCCTTTCCTGGAAGTTTCTGTATGTTTCTATATTTTACATTCATTCATGTCAGCTGGGAAGACACTGAGTTAGATAAAGACAGCAGAGAGTATTAGAATAAGACAAAGTCCCTGTCTTTACGCGGCTTACAGTGGGACAGGAGAAATACATGAGCCAGCAAATAACATATGTTTTGTGATAGAAGTCTGTAAGTGTCCACAAGATAATGTGTAGCCATAAAGGATTCTATTCTGCTTGGTGTTATAACAATTCACGTATATGTCATCTCCTCTATCAGATGGTATAATTTGAGGACCAAGAGCAGACATGAGACTACATTTTCTTATAATAGTGTTAAATGTTTGCTGAATAAGTGAGTGAGTGAGTGAGTGAATGAGTGAGTGAGTGAGTGAGTGAGTGAGTGAGTGAGTGAGTGAATGATACGCTGGTCATTAGGCATCACTGGGGAGTAGTAACAGCCTCCAGGAAATAGTGGCCGGGATGGAGGGGTTGTCACCGCTGGAGTTTAAAAACCATGTCATCATTTTTAATCCTAGGCTATGTGTGAGTTTTACAGTTTTCCTCAATCATCCTTTCCATAGTTTATTTAATTTGCAATAATCACGCCTCGGATAAACCTCATGGGCTATGATACTGCCACTGCACAAAGCTCCATAGTTTATTTAAAATGGTAATAGGAATAGCATTAGAAACTAGGTCCCATTTCTCATGACCGAGAAGAGGGTAATGGTCTGCCCAAAATAATAACTTAGCCCCTTTGGCTTTAATAAATAAATCCTAGAGATCAAATGTGATGGTTTGATGGATAAAGAGAAGAACTGGAGGAGATGAGAAGAAATAGCTGCCCACCCTATTGGTCCATGAGCCTTCCCTCCTTTCGTTCTGACCTTACCATGGTCTTCAAGTTAAGTCCTTGGGCCTCTTAACAAATATTGTTAATATCTTTAAGTTAATGAAGACAAATAGGATTCTGCAGCATCCAGGCTAATGTTGTGTATGTGTGTGTGTATGTGTGAATGTGTGTGTATGTGGTGTGCATGTGTGTGCATGTGTGTATGGGGTAGGCAGGGTAAATAAGGGAGGAACCAAAGCACTTGTGAAAGCAATTACACTTCTTTAGTGGAAACCTCTAATCCCTTGAGGAGCCATAGGTATGATTAATCATTCCCTAAAAAGGAAGCCATCCTCGGAGAGAAAATCCATATCTGAACATCCATGTTCTCTTTAAGGTCACCCGTGAATCACAGTGTAAGGGTCATCAGCGGAGGAAGCTGAAATGGTCAGGCCAGCTTCCGGGAGCATCTGAGTCAGGACAGACAAAAGGAAGTGTTTCTTAACCCAGAGAATTGTAGCACGGTGGAAACTCACTTCCCACAGAGGTGGAACAATGTGTAACCATAAGTCACTTCAAAGAAGGAATTCAGAGAACATCACATGTACTGATAAATGGGTTGAAACTGCTCACATGTTTTGGGTCATGTCTTTGACCTTTATTCATTCTTTAACTTATAGGTCAATTATTAATCCATTTATTGATTCATTTGTTGAGTCATTTATAGAGTGATGAGTGTAAGTCATCAAAACTTATTTTTTTTTGAGCACCTACTATATACCCAGGACTGTGTTACTGGTGCGTACAAAGATGAACATGGCCCAATCCCTGCTCTCAAAGAACTCACCATCCGGAAGGGGAGTTGGACGCATTAAGAGAAAGTCATGATGCTGGAGTGAGGGTACTGCTAGTATGCGTTATAGTGGTGAAGGAGAGGCAGGGCCTTAAGTGAACCCTCAGTGGGAGG